CCTAGCTATATTAAAGACTCTACCCAATTCCTAAGAAATCTGTGTAAGATAGATAGTTTATTTGACAATACATTCCTTGTGACTTTGGATGTCTCATGCTTATATTGTAACATCACACATGAGGAGGGTATACTAGCCTGCAAAAATTTTTAAGCACCAGAGGCTTCCACGATCACCGTATACTAATCATTTCGAATGTTATATATTCTTTACTGCTATGCAACAACTTCCAATTTAACGAGCATAATTTCCTTCAAGTTCGTGGCACGGCAATGGGAACGAAAATGGGCCCCAGCTATGCTAACATTTTCATGGATGATCGTGATAAAGATATGCTTAGTAGATACCACCAGGCACCCTCCGCTACCACTTCATATGGACACACGGAGAGAACAAACTCCTAGATGTTAATAACACCTTAATAAATTACACCACACCATCAAATTTACTATGGTTATTCTACCACTTCCATTCCGTTTCTGGACACACTGGTAGGTCTCAATAATATATCCATTACACTATATATCAAGTCTACTGATGTCATTGCTACCTTAATTTCAATAGCTGCCACCCCACTAACCTAAAAAAAAAATCTATAATCTACAGTTAATGCTTGCGTATTAATCGCATCTGTTCTCACATGGAAGATTAAAACATACACAGGAAAACTTTGCAATTATTTTCTTAATAGCAATTACCCACTCGAAATAATTAAAGAAACAATCACAAAAGCTACCAAACCTAACAGAAACATTCTCTTTAGCTAAGAAAGAAGAATTCCAGAATCTCCAGGATCTTTTTATCCACAGACTTTTCGCAAACGTTAACTAAAGAATTCCAACATTTAAAACTAGACAATATTATTAGTAATTTATTTAGCGATAACACCGTACACGCGAGGCGGCAGACCCCAACCTCTTCAGAATTTTAACATCACCAAAAATCTGCAACTGGAATAAATATAATTTTTAATGGCAAATTGTGGAATTTTAAGACTGTTCGTGATTATTGTAGTACATTTAACATTTCCAAGGACATTTGATAAAACAAGAATGTGACCTGAACTCATTTAGACAACTGCATTATTGCCAAAATGGAAAATAATGGAACATTTCTGGACTATTGGGTCGGTTCGATGTCATTTGATTGTTAATGACAACTGGCAGATAATAGTTTGAACGTTCATAAAATAAGAAATACATAACGAATTTTAATCCGTAATAATCCCGACGAACAAAAATTGGAAAACAAATTGTTTTGATGCGCGTTGAGAGCCGAGCGAAACCACTGGTGTGCAAATCAATTTAAATAATATTAAAGTGAGACAATATAAAAATGTAAATTGACCTCGAACTTTATTGAAAGTGAAGGTAATTTAACGAAAGAGTCTGTCAGATAAGCTTAAAAACATTAGAGCAGTCTTTTTATAAGAAAATGGAGTTTGAAAAAAAAACTAAAAGAAAAAAAGAAATGAATCAATTCTGAAAGGCCTTGGAAAGTACAATATTTCTATCGTTTCACACTTGCCTCTTTAAAATAAAGCCTGGTCGAAAAAAATAGAAGCCCATTATCGTAATTTAAAATTGTTTTTTTCGCGTTCTTTCTTCTCATTTCCATGCCACCATCCCATCTTTATTTTTCGTGTTGACAAAGAAAATCTAAACGGAGCTGTATTTCAATTTCCCTATCAACGAATATAAACAGCTGAAACAAATAACTCGCTAAAGTTAGCATTTAAATTGCTGAATTTAATTAAAGATGCAATAGGCCACCTTGAGACATATTTTCTGTTTAAATGGCAAGAAAGCATTGGTTCCTATTCCTTGGTGGAAAATACATGTCTATTTCATGATCATGCATTATATGAGACAGAATGAATTTAAAAGAAATATTTAAAGAATGAAGGAATTTTGTTTAGGAAATATTTCTTTGACAATTTCATTGAGCCAAATTATAATTCTGCTGCATTATTTTGAGTTATTTCATAATTACGTTTAAGAAAAAGATCTCATTTTCTGGAAACGTTTCACAGCTTTCCAAAACTGCGTACAAGGTGCGAAGTTTGTTACTCTGTGGGGATCAGTTGTATAGCAAAAATCAATTTGTTAAAGGCTGGGAAACGAAAAATGAAAAAATATGGATACATATATGCCAGTTATTTTAATATGATGATTTAATATAAAACCCGCACTAGAATATGCTTTAATATACGTTTTCGAAAAGTTTTGTCTAAATGTTAACGCTGAAGAAGTCTGAAGATATAGCGAGAAAAATCCAGGCCGTAGGAAAGCGGACATACCTGAAAAGTGGCATATTTGGTAAAAGAAAGATCGTGAAAAGTCTATACGCCATCTTTCTGTGTAGATTACAATAAGAAAAATGTATTGCTTTATGAAGAAGCTTAGTATAAGAAAGCCACTACAAGAAAGGATTTAATAAGAAAGTATCGAATCAGAAAGGATCTACTGATCTCTGATGAGAAAGACCTTGCTAAGATATAATCTAATAAAAAAGAATCTACTGAGTAAGAATCTGATAAGAAATAGTCTAATGGGAAAGGATCTAATAGGAAAGGATCTCATCACCATCCTGCGACCTCAGCCGAGATTGAACTCACTACACCTCTCCAGTATTCCCTATCAGTCATATCTCCTAAAAGATCTTCCTTAGGGATCAATGTGTCTCGTTTTATCCTATCTGGAAAGGTTAACTTGCGTGATCGATTGTCAGATGATGGGTGCCTCCAGAGTACAAATGATGACACAAGTTCATCTGTGGCACGTGCACAATGCCCGGAGAACTGGACATGTCTTTTGCAAACTAAGTTTGATACTCTCGGCAAGTCTCCATATATCATTTCTAGAGTTGGGCGGTTTCGCCATGAGAGATTAAGCACTCTTCTTAAAAGACGTGTATAACATCCATCTAAACGGCGCTGTTGTTTTGCTAAGAGAGTCCAAGTTTCAAAGCCATAGAGTAAGATTGGTTCAGTAAGTACGCGGAAAAGTTGGATTTTGAATTGACGAGCAAGATTGTATTTCCAGATCTTAACCATTTTGTTACATGCAGTTCATGCTATGCCTTTCCTAATGTTGAAATCTTTCTCAGAGTTCTTAATGTGTGATCCTAGATACTTGTAGCCTTCGACACATTTGAGGATGTTGTCTGAGAGTGTTTTGATCTCATGATTGTTGCGAATGTTAATTGGCATACACTCAGTTTTAGTTTCATTTAGGTGAAGACCTGCACAGTTAGCTGCTGATTCAAGAGAAGAAAGGAGTGCTTGGGCACTAATGAGGTTGTCAGACAACAGTGCAATGTCATCAGCAAAATCAGCATCGGTGATGTAGAGTGCAGGATGACGTGAGCTTCTTCTAGGTTGATACATCAGTCCATTTTCTTTGATTGTGTCCACTGATATACGCATGATGTAGTCTATTACAATGATGAAAAGGAAAGGTGCTAGTGTGTCACCTTGGAGAATGCCAGCCAGAATATCGAAAGGTTCTGTTTCACCATCTGGGGTCAGGACAGTGGCCTGTGTGTTGGTATACAATATTTTGATTGCTTCAATGATTTCTACTGGTATGCCATAGAGTTCAAGAATTTCAAACATAGTCTCGCGGTTGACTGAGTCGAAAATTTGCTGAAGTCTACAAAAATAAGAGCTGCAGTTTTATTGCAGAATGTGATTTCCTCAATTATTCTACGCAATGTGAGGATGTGTCCAAGAGTGGAACGACCTGGGCGGAAACCATTTTGGTTTTTGCGTAGAATGGGTTCAACTTCAGCGGGAATTCGATTCAGAAGAATTATTGTTATAATGGATCTAAGGACCTGGTAAGAAATAATCTAATAAGAAAGAATGTAATGAGAAAGTGTCGGATAAGAAAGACTCTAATGGGAAATGATCTAATAAGACAGGATCTAAGGATCTCTGATGAGAAAGGAAATAATCTAAGACATGTGTAAGAAATAATCTAATGAAAGAATCTAAATAAAAAGGGTCTGATAAGAAAGGTGCTGATAAGAAAGACTAAGGGGGAAAGGATCTAATAAGAAAGGATCTAATTAACTCAGATTAAAAAGGACTTGGTAAGAAATAATCTTATAAAAAAAAACTCCTGACAAAGGATCTGATAAAAATGGAACTGATAAGAAATGATTTGATAAGAAATGATCTGATAAGAAAGACTATAATAGAAAAGGATCTAATAGGAAAGGATCTAATGATATATGATGAAAAATAACCTGGTAAGAAATAATCTAATGAGAAAGGATCTGATAAGAAATACTCTAATGGGAAAGGATCTAAAAAAGGATCTCTGATGTAAAAGGAAATAAAAAAATATCGAAGAAATAATGTAATGAAAGAATCTAATGAAAAGGGGTATGATAAGAAAGGTGCTTAAAAGAAAGACTAATGGTGAAAGGATATCATAAGAAAGGATCTAATTAACTCTGAGGAAAAAGGAGATAGTAAGAAATAATCTAATAAAAAAAGAATCTCCTGAGAAAGGACCTGATAAGAATGGATCTGATAAGAAATGATCTAATAAGAAAGACTCTAATGAAAAAGGACCTAATAGGAAAGGATCTAATGATATCTGATGAAAAAGGACCTGGTAAGAAATAATCTAATAAGAAAGAATGTAATGAGAAATTGTCGGATAAGAAAGACTCTAATGGGAAATGATCTAATAAGACAGGATCTAAGGATCTCTGATGAGAAAGGAAATAATCTAAGAAATATGTAAGAAATAATCTAATGAAAGTATCTAATGAAAAAGTGCCTGATAAGAAAGGTGCTGATAAGAAAGACTAATGGGGAAAGGATCTAATAATCTCTTAGGAAAAAGGGCCTGGTAAGAAATAACCTAAGAAAAAAGAATCTCCTGAGAAAAGATCTGATAAGAAAGGATCTGACTAAGAAGGATCTAATAAGAAAGGATCTAATGAGAAAGGATCTGATAATAAAGTCTCTAATGAGAAAAGATCTAATGATATTTGTTGAGGAAGGAGCTAGTAAGAAATAATCTAATAAGAAAGAATCTACTGAGAAAAAAGCCTGATAAGAAAGGAGCTGATAAGAAAGACTTTAATGGGAAAGGATCTAATAACAAATGGTCTAATGATTTCTGATGATAAAGAACCTGGTAAGAAATGATCTAATAAGATAGAATATTCTGAGAAATGTTCTGATAATGAAGGAACTGATGGGAAAGGATCTAATAAGAAATGATCTAATAAGAAAGAATATAATAAGAAAGTATCTAATAAGAACAGATGTAATGAGAAAGGATCCACTGAAAATAATCTGAGAAGAAAGGATCTAATGAGAAAGGATCTAGTAAGATTTGAACTTGCCACAAGAATTACATGCGTTACTTTTTTGTTTTTTGGCTATCGCGTTCTGCTAGGAAGCATACTGCTTTGCGACACTACGTCAATGGTGACGTGCCAAATAATCAACACGAGCAACGATTTGCAAAATATATTATTGACCATCCTTTTACAGAAAGACAACATATATAATAGGGATGACCTTAAAGCGCTCAATTCCGATATCCATACATTCAACTAAATGCACACACACACACACATTCATACATAAACATACGCAAACGCACGTATATAGGAGTGTGAGTGTTTATCTGTGTATGTGTATAGTGACTTTTTCTACTGAATTACTTTTTAAATTCAAACATCAACGATTCATCCTGGCACTAAAGTATTTGGTTATTCTGAAATTTCTGAGTGTCAATATATCAAAGGCGAGCAGTTAGACGCAATTTGTGTAATATACATAGCAAACGTTAGTGTTATTACATAAACTAATTAAATATGGAAGGCAAAAATTGCTACTATTATTATTTCCTTCTGTAGTTTGTCTGATCACTGATTCCAAGATAGTCCTAATTTGTAGCCTCAAAATTCTTTTCTAATCTTAAACTGATTTCCTTGCCTGTGCCTTTTTATTCCACACTCAAGTAATGATGGAAATGAGAAGCATGTGAACAATTGCCAGCCTAATAGAATATCAATATCTTCATTTCTTTTGTTCAATTACTAATAGCAACAATGATAATAATAAGATACCACAAATTGTGATGAAAAACTAATACCATCAGCAATTATGCTAGTATCAGCAGATATTTATCTTTATTTCAAGACAATATATTTCCGACTGTAATTATTGAAACGAAGGAATAAATTGTCAAAGAAAAATTACAGACAATTCTTGGGCAAAATGAATCTTCCGTTGGGACATTTTGGACTTTATATTTCTTCTATAATCCAATATAACCAAAGCCTTTTATCACTGTTTTTTACTTGATGCTTTGTCGTTTAATGTCTGCCTGCCTTTCTTTCTTTCTTTATTTCTTTCTTTCTTTCTTTCTTTCTTTCTTTCTTCCTTCCTTTCTTTCTTTCTTTCTTTCTTTCTTTCTTTCTTTCTTTCTTTCTTTCTTTCTTTCTTTCTTTCGTTTCCAAACACTATGTTGCCTTTATTTATTTATTTATTCTTTCTTTTTTCTCTTCAAAATGTTTTTCTTTCTTTCTTTCTTTCTTTCTTTCTTTCTTTCTTTCTTTCTTTCTTTCTTTCTTTCTTTCTTTCTTTCGTTTCCAAACACTATGTTGAATTTATTTATTTATTTATTTATTCTTTCTTTTTTCTCTTCAAAATGTTTTTCTTTCTTTCTTTCTTTCTTTCTATCTTTCTTTCTTTCTTTCTTTCTTTCTTTCTTTCTTTCTTTCTTTTGTTTCCAAACACTATGTTACATTTATTTATTCATTCTTTCTTTCTTTCTTTCTTTCTTTCTTTCTTTCTTTCTTTCTTTCTTTCTTTCTTTCTTTCTTTTCCAAACGTTATTTATCCTTCATCCATTCATTTACTCTTTCTTTCTTTCTTTCTTTCTTTCTTTCTTTCTTTCTTTCTTTCTTTCTTTCTTTCTTTCGTTTCCAAACACGATGTTTCCTTTATTTATTTATTCTTTTTTCTCTTCAAAATAATTCTTTCTTTCTTTCTTTTTTCTTTCTTTCTTTTTTTCATTCTTTCTTTCTTTTTCTTTCTTTCTTTTTTTTTTTTCTTTCTTTCTTTCGTTTCCAAACACTATATTTGCCTTTATTTATTTATTTATTCTTTTTCTTTTTTTCTTCAAAATAATTTTTTTTTTTTCTTTCTTTCTTTCGTTTCCAAACACAATGTTTCCTTTATTTATTTATTCTTTTTTTCTCTTCAAAATAATTCTTTCTTTCTTTCTTTCTTTCTTTCTTTCTTTCTTTATTTCTTTCTTTCTTTCTTTCTTTCTTTCTTTCGTTTACAAACACAATCTTTCCTTTATTTATTTATTCTTTTTTCTCTAAAAAATAATTCTTTCTTTCTTTCTTTCTTTCTTTCTTTCTTTCTTTCTTTCTTTCTTTCGTTTCCAAACACTATGTTGACTTTATTTATTTATTTATTCTTTCTTTTTTCTCTTCAAAATAATTCTTTCTTTCTTTCTTTCTTTCTTTCTTTCTTTCTTTCTTTCTTTCTTTCTTTTCCAAACTCTATTTATCCTTCATCCATTCCTTTACTCTTTCTTTCTTTCTTTCTTTCTTTCTTTCTTTCTTTTCCAAACACAATGTTTCCTTGATTTATTTATTCTTTTTTTTTCTCTTCAAAATAATTTTTTTCTTTTTTTTTTTTCTTTCTTTCTTTCTTTCTTTCTTTCTTTCTTTCTTTCTTTTTTCTTTCTTTTCGTTTCCAAACACTATGTCGCCTTTGTTTATTTATTTATTTATTCTTTTCTTTTTTCTCTTCAAAATATTTTTTTTCTTTCTTTTCTTTCTTTTTTCTTTTTTTCTTTCTTTTCTTTCTTTCTTTTTCGTTTCCAAACACAATGTTTCCTTTATTTATTTATTATTTTTTTCTCTTCAAAATAATTCTTTCTTTCTTTCTTTCTTTCTTTCTTTCTTTCTTTCTTTCTTTCTTTCTTTCTTTCTTTCGTTTCCAAACACAATGTTTCCTTTATTTATTTATTCTTTTCTTCTCTTCAAAATAATTCTTTCTTTCTTTCTTTCTTTCTTTCTTTCTTTCTTTCTTTCTTTCTTTCTTTCGTTTACAAACACAATCTTTCCTTTATTTATTTATTCTTTTTTCTCTAAAAATAATTCTTTTTTCTTTTCTTTTCTTTCTTTCTTTCTTTTTTCTTTTTTCTTTCTTTCTTTCGTTTCCAAACACTATATTTGCCTTTATTTATTTATTTATTTATTCTTTCTTTTTCTCTTCAAAATAATTCTTTTCTTTCTTTCAAAACAATTTATTTTTTTTCTTTTTCTCTTCTTTCTTTCTTTTTCTTTCTTTTTTCTTTCTTTCTTTCTTTCTTTTTCCAAACGCTATTTATCCTTCATCCATTCCTTTACTCTTTCTTTCTTTTCTTTCTTTCTTTCTTTCTTTCTTTCTTTCTTTCTTTCTTTCTTTCTTTCGTTTCCAAACACAATGTTTCCTTTATTTATTTATTCTTTTTTCTCTTCAAAATAATTCTTTCTTTCTTTCTTTCTTTCTTTCTTTCTTTCTTTCTTTCTTTCTTTCTTTCGTTTCCAAACACTATGTCGCCTTTGTTTATTTATTTATTCTTTCTTTTTTCTCTTCAAAATATTTTTTCTTTCTTTCTTTCTTTCTTTCTTTCTTTCTTTTTTCTTTCTTTCTTTCTTTCGTTTCCAAACACAATGTTTCCTTTATTTATTTATTCTTTTTTTTTTCTTCAAAATAATTCTTTTTATTTTTCTTTCTTTCTTTCTTTCTTTTTCTTTCTTTCTTTCTTTTTTCTTTCTTTTTTCTTTTTTCGTTTCCAAACACAATGTTTCCTTTATTTTTTTTTTTTTTATTTATTTATTCTTTTCTTCTCTTCAAAATAATTCTTTCTTTTTTCTTTCTTTCTTTTCTTTCTTTCTTTCTTTTCTTTCTTTCTTTCTTTTCGTTTTCCAAACACTATGTTGCCTTTATTTATTTATTTATTTATTTTTCTTTTTCTCTTCAAAATATTTTTCTTTCTTTCTTTCTTTCTTTCTTTCTTTCTTTCTTTCTTTCTTTCGTTTCCAAACACAATGTTTCCTTTATTTATTTATTCTTTTTCTCTTCAAAATAATTTTTCTTTTTCTTTCTTTCTTTCTTTCTTTCTTTCTTTCTTTCTTTCTTTCTTTCTTTCTTTCTTTCGTTTCCAAACACTATATTTGCCTTTTTTATTTCTTTTTTTTTTTTTTCTTTCTTTTTTTTTCTCTTTAAAATAATTGTTTCTTTCTTTCTTTTCTTTCTTTCTTTCTTTCTTTCTTTCTTTCTTTCTTTCTTTCTTTCTTTTCCAAACGTTATTTATACTTCATCCACTCATTTTTTCTTCTTACTCTTTCTTTCTTTCTTTCTTTCTTTCTTTCTTTCTTTCTTTCTTTCTGTTCCAAACACTATGTTGCCTTTATTTATTGATTTATTCTTTCTTTTTTTTTTTCTCTTCAAAATATTTCTTTCTTTCTTTCTTTCTTTTTTCTTTCTTTCTTTTTTCTTTCCAAACACTATGTCACCTTTGTTTATTTATTTATTCTTTCAAAATATTTTTTTTCTCTTTCTTTCTTTCTTTCTTTCTTTCTTTCTTTCTTTCTTTCTTTATTTTTCTCTTTTTCGTTTCCAAAACAATGTTTCCTTTATTTATTTATTCTTTTTTTTTTTCTTCAAAAAAATAATTCTTTCTTTCTTTCTTTTTCTTTCTTTTTCTTTCTTTCTTTCTTTCTTTCTTTTTCTTTCGTTTCCAAACACTATGTCGCCTTTGTTTATTTATTTATTCTTTCTTTTTTCTCTTCAAAATATTTTTCTTTTTTCTTTCTTTCTTTTCTTTCTTTCTTTCTTTCTTTCTTTCGTTTCCAAACACAATTTTTCTCTTTATTTATTTCTTTATTTTTTTTCTTTTCTTCAAAATAATTCTTTTTTTCTTTCTTTCTTTTGACATTTATTTTTCTTTTTTTTTCTTTCTATCGCCTTTTGTTTATTTTTTTTCTTCAAAAATGTTTTTCTTTCTTTCTTTCTTTCTTTCTTTCTTTCTTTCTTTCTTTCTTTCGTTTCCAAACACAATGTTTCCTTTATTTATTTATTCTTTTCTTCTCTTCAAAATAATTCTTTCTTTCTTTCTTTCTTTCTTTCTTTCTTTCTTTCTTTCTTTCTTTCTTTCTTTCGTTTCCAAACACTATGTCGCCTTTGTTTATTTATTTATTCTTTCTTTTTTCTCTTCAAAATATTTTTCTTTCTTTCTTTCTTTCTTTCTTTCTTTCTTTCTTTCTTTCTTTCTTTCTTTCGTTTCCAAACACTATGTCGCCTTTTTTTATTTATTTATTCTTTCTTTTTTCTCTTCAAAATATTTTTTCTTAATTTCTTTCTTTCTTTCTTTCTTTCTTTCTTTCTTTCTTTCTTTCTTTCTTTCTTTCTTTCTGTTCCAAACACTATGTTGCCTTTATTTATTGATTTCTTTCTTTCTTTTTCTCTTCAAAATATTTCTTTTTTCTTTCTTTTTTTATTTATTTTCTTTCTTTTTTCTTTCTTTTTTCTTTCTTTCTTTCTTTCTTTCTTTCTTTCTTTCTTTCTTTCGGTTCCAAACACTATTTCACCTTTGTTTATTTATTTATTCTTTCTTTTTTTTTCTCTTCAAAAATATTCTTTCTTTCTTTTTTTCTTTTTTTTTCTTTCTTTCTTTCTTTCTTTCTTTTTTCGTTTCCAAAAACACTTTGTTTCCTTTATTTATTTATTCTTTTTTTTCTCTTCAAAATATTCTTTCTTTCTTTCTTTTCTTTCTTTTCTTTCTTTCTTTCTTTCTTTCGTTTCCAAACACTATGTCGCCTTTTTTTATTTATTTTTTCTTTTTTCTCTTCAAAATATTTTTTCTTTCTTTCTTTCTTTCTTTCTTTCTTTCTTTCTTTCTTTCTTTCTTTCGTTTCCAAACACTATGTCGCCTTTGTTTATTTATTTATTCTTTCTTTTTTCTCTTCAAAATATTTTTTCTTTCTTTCTTTCTTTCTTTCTTTCTTTCTTTCTTTCTTTCTTTCTTTCTTTCTTTCTTTCTTTCGTTTCCAAACACAATGTTTCCTTTATTTATTTATTTCTTTTTTTTTTTTTCTCTTCAAAATAATTTTTTTTTCTTTCTTTCTTTCTTTCTTTCTTTTCTTTCTTTCTTTCTTTCTTTTTCTTTCGTTTCTTTTTTTTTTCTTTTTTTTCAAACACAATGTTTCCTTTATTTATTTATTCTTTTTTTTTCTCTTCAAAATATTTCTTTCTTTTCTTTCTTTCTTTCTTTCTTTCTTTCTTTCTTTCTTTCTTTCTTTCTTTCTTTTTTCCAAACACTATGTCGCCTTTGTTTATTTATTCTTTCTTTCTTTTTCTCTTCAAAATTTTTTTCTTTTTTTTCTTTCTTTTCTTTCTTTCTTTCTTTCTTTCTTTCTTTCTTTCTTTCTTTCTGTTTCCAAACACTATGTTGCCTGTATTTATTGATTTATTCTTTCTTTTTTCTCTTCAAAATATTTTTTCTTTCTTTCTTTCTTTCTTTCTTTCTTTCTTTCTTTCTTTCTTTCTTTCTTTCTGTTCCAAACACTATGTTGCCTTTATTTATTGATTTATTCTTTCTTTTTTCTCTTCAAAATATTTCTTTCTTTCTTTCTTTCTTTCTTTCTTTCTTTCTTTCTTTCTTTCTTTCTTTCTTTCTTTCTTTCTTTCTATCGTTTCCAAACACTATGTTGCCTTTATTTATTTATTTATTTATTTATTTTTTCTTTTTTCTCTTCAAAATAATTTTTTCTTTCTTTCTTTCTTTCTTTCTTTCTTTCTTTCTTTCTTTCTTTCTTTCTTTCTTTCTTTCCCAAACGCTATGTATCCTTTATCTATTTATTTATTCCTTTCTTTCCAAACGCTATGTGTCATTTATTTATTTATTTATTCTTCCTTTTTTCTTTCTTTCTTTCTTTCTTTCTTTCTTTCTTTTCCAAACATTATTTATTTTTTCTTTCTAATTTTTCTCTTCATCCATTCTTTCTTTTTTCTTTTTCTTTCTTTCTTTTTTTCGTTTCCAAACACTCTTGTTGCCTTTATTTATTTATTTATTCTTTTTTTCTCTTCAAAATATTTTTTCTTTCTTTCTTTCTTTCTTTCTTTCTTTCTTTTTTCTTTCTTTCTTTCGTTTCGTTTCCAAACACAATGTTTCCTTTATTTATTTATTCTTTTTTCTCTTCAAAATAATTCTTTCTTTCTTTCTTTCTTTCTTTCTTTCTTTCTTTCTTTCGTTTCCAAACACTATGTTGCCTTTATTTATTTTTTTATTCTTTCTTTTTTCTCTTTAAAATAATTGTTTCTTTCTTTCTTTCTTTCTTTCTTTCTTTCTTTCTTTCTTTCTTTCTTTTCCAAACGTTATTTATCCTTCATCCACTCATTTACTTTCTTTTTTTTCTTTCTTTTTCGTTTCCAAACACAATGTTTCCTTTTTTTTATTTTTCAAAATTTTTTCTTTCTTTCTTTCTTTCTTTCTTTCTTTCTTTCTTTCTTTCCTTCTGTTCCAAACACTATGTTGCCTTTATTTATTGATTTATTCTTTCTTTTTTCTCTTCAAAATATTTCTTTCTTTCTTTCTTTCTTTCTTTGTTTATTATTTATTCTTTCTTTCTTTCTTTCTTTCTTTCTTTCTTTCTTACTTTCTTTCTTTCTTTCTTTCTTTCTGTTCCAAACACTATGTCACCTTTGTTTATTTATTTATTCTTTCTTTTTTCTCTTCAAAATATTCTTTCTTTCTTTCTTTCTTTCTTTCTTTCTTTCTTTCTTTCTTTCTTTCTTTCTTTCGTTTCCAAACACAATGTTTCCTTTATTTATTTATTCTTTTTTTTTCTCTTCAAAATAATTCTTTCTTTCTTTCTTTCTTTCTTTCTTTCTTTCTTTCTTTCTTTCTTTCTTTCTTTCTTTCTTTCTTTCTTTCGTTTCCAAACACTATGTCGCCTTTTTTTATTTATTTATTCTTTCTTTTTTCTCTTCAAAATATTTTTTCTTAATTTCTTTCTTTCTTTCTTTCTTTCTTTCTTTCTTTCTTTCTTTCTGTTCCAAACACTATGTTGCCTTTATTTATTGATTTATTCTTTCTTTTTTCTCTTCAAAATATTTCTTTCTTTCTTTCTTTCTTTCTTTCTTTCTTTCTTTCTTTCTTTCTATCGTTTCCAAACACTATGTTGCCTTTATTTATTTATTTATTTATTTATTTTTTCTTTTTTCTCTTCAAAATAATTTTTTCTTTCTTTCTTTCTTTCTTTCTTTCTTTCTTTCTTTCTTTTTCTTTCCAAACACTTTCCCAAATTCTTTCTTTTTCTCTTGTATCCTTTATCTATTTATTTATTCTTTCTTTCCAAACGCTATGTGTCATTTATTTATTTATTCTTTCTTTCTTTCTTTCTTTCTTTCTTTCTTTCTTTCTTTCTTTCTTTCTTTTCCAAACATTATTTAACTTCATCCATTCATTTACTCTTTCTTTCTTTCTTTCTTTCTTTCTTTCTTTCTTTCTTTCTTTCTTTCTTTCTTTCGTTTCCAAACACTATCTTGCCTTTATTTATTTATTTATTCTTTCTTTTTTCTCTTCAAAATATTTACTTTCTTTCTTTCTTTCTTTCTTTCTTTCTTTCTTTCTTTCTTTCTTTCTTTCTTTCGTTTCCAAACACAATGTTTCCTTTATTTATTTATTCTTTTTTCTCTTCAAAATAATTCTTTCTTTCTTTCTTTCTTTCTTTCTTTCTTTCTTTCTTTCTTTCTTTCTTTCTTTCGTTTCCAAACACTATGTTGCCTTTATTTATTTTTTTATTCTTTCTTTTTTCTCTTCAAAATAATTGTTTCTTTCTTTCTTTCTTTCTTTCTTTCTTTCTTTCTTTCTTTCTTTCTTTCTTTCTTTTTTTCTTTTCCAAACGTTTTTTATCCTTCATCCTTTCTTTCATTTTCTTTCTTTCTTTCTTTCTTTCTTTCTTTTCTTTATTTCCAAATTTATTTTTTTTTCTTTCTTTCTTTCTTTTCTTTCTTTCTTTCTTCTTTTCTTTCTTTCTTGCTTTCTTTCTTTCCTTCTGTTCCAAACACTATATTTGCCTTTATTTATTGATTTATTCTTTCTTTTTCTCTTCAAAATATTTCATTTTTTCTTTCTTTTCTTTTTCTTTTCTTTCTTTCTTTCTTTCTTTCTTTTCTTTCTTTCCCAAACTATGTTGCCTTTATTTATCCTTTATCTTTTTATTTATTCTTTCTTTCTTTCCACACGCTATGTGTCATTTATTTATTTATTCTTTTTTTTATAATGTTTCTTTCTTTCTTTCTTTCTTTCTTTCTTTCTTTCTTTCTTTCTTTCTTTCTTTTTTCTTTTTTGTTTCCAAACACTATGTTACATTTATTTATTCATTCTTTCTTTCTTTCTTTCTTTCTTTCTTTCTTTCTTTCTTTCTTTCCCAAAGGTGATATTATTTAATTTTTCTGCTTTTTCTTTTCTTTCTTACATTCTTTTACTTTATTTTTTGATTTCAAATTTTCTCACAGGCTTTTTTAAACTAACATAGCAAAAATCCATTTGCAATTTTTCATTTTTCCTCACTTCCTCATTTCATTTTTGTATCTTACATATCTTTCACAAATACATTAATTTATGAAACATATATTGATTACCTTATTTTCCAACCACGCTATTCTATTTGAAATTTTCTTTTTCAAACGGAAATCGTTGACCAATGTCTGCCCTAGCTTTCAAATCGTAGACTAAAGATGAACAGTTTTGGTGGATGAAAACTGAGGGAATATGGAGGGAAAATGATGCCAGAAAATGGCTGGTGATGGACAGCGTCTTTGGAAGAACAGCTACTAAGGAAGATGGGTTATTGGGGCTGGAAAATGACCGACGATTGTCTCTAGAGGGCAATTGTAGTGTCTGGTGATGAACGGCGATTGAACCAGAGCAGTGACCGGGGTTATAAGAGGTGACTGGAAATGAAAACTAACCGAAGAAGATGAACAACTGCAAATGAAAGGCTGTAGAAAAAGAAGAAAAAAAAATGACCGGCGTAAATGAACTTCGATACAGACAGAAAAAAAAAAGTGGAAAAATAGAATACAAAGGATAGTAAATCAGTGAAAAAGAAGGAGTAAATGTCGTAAAATATTCGAACAGCAACCTGGGACAAACTCAATAGTTCGATAGCTACCATAATGTTGGCTCACTAAAATTTACTACAAGGCCCTGTACAATGTTTGCTTAAAGGTGATCAATAAACATTGCCGTGGCAAAAAGTATCATTTTGTCCGCCAAAGGAGAATCGTATGGAGATGACCAACTACATCCATTTTAGCCCACAATGCACAGAGGCTAAAGTTACAGCCAGACACATATGAATTACTAGATTTTTGCGATCCTGTTTTGATTACCTGGAGCGAAATTAATGCTTAGAAAAATAGCAGATATCTTGTTGCTCTTGGATGTCTTGATACATGAATCATTGTTAAAAGCAAATAATGATATTCGAGATAAAAAATGATGTTCTAAAAACCAAAGTCACTAATGTGCTAATTCGCTCGGGGGAAAAGGCTTACGTTCCACGGTTAAATAACAATCTCTTTTTCAATATCAAATGGAAGAATTTGAAAAATATACACCCATAAAAGACCATATTTAATTTCTTTTCATAAAATATTGAGGATATTTTAATTTTTCTTCTCATTCATTGAATAAAGTTTAATAAGAATCTTTTTTACCGTCTTCATCGGAATGAAGACAGAACAGTTCCAAAGAAACTGCACTTTAACGTTAGCATTATACATACAATGTGTGTCGAGTTAATTCCCCGAATGTCCCTGTGAAAACATGTTTCTTAGGTAGTCTCTATTGTACGTTGTTACCATTCAAAGAGGTTTTTGAGACGTTGGCGCCATTGCTGGAAATATTCTTTGAACTCGTTATCCGTAATAGCTTTCGGTAATGCAATGATAGGTTACTGGATGTAAGGGATATCAGCAAATTATTGTTCTTTCAGAACAGTTTGCAACTTTGGAAATAACCAAAATTTAAACGAGATTGCCAAAACACAGGTTGGTTTTGGTAAGTAGGTGGCGAAAACTATCTGATAAATACGGAAATATAATTTTTATTTAGAAAACGTAATAGTAAATGCTGATGCATATTTTTCATATACGCCTACTGTTATTTGACGAAATCGGTTCGTGTTAATTATAAGCTACAACAAAGACACATGGTACAGTGAATAAAGGCGATGGTTAGTTCCAGTGACGGGACCCAAAGAGTGTGAGTTCAATACCCGATTAAGGCAGTGGAGAACTTGGACAACTAACGTGGTACTACCCCCAGTGAGCGAAATAAAGGGTTTGGTTCGACATTCCACTCATCTCAGAAATATACACATATACTGAAGAAGGCCGGAGAGTACACTAGCCGAAACGTTCTAATAAATATGGCGACAAAGATGAGGACAATATTCCGAATAATGTAAATGGTGTACATAATACCTAATCTCAGAAATATAGACATATACTGAAGAAGGACGGAGCGCACAACGACTGAAACGTTGTAATAAATATGGCAACAAAGATAAGGACAGTAGTCCGAATAATGTAAATAGTGTACATAATAACTCATCTCAGAAATATAGACATATACTGAAAAAGGACGAAGCGTACAACGACTGAAACGTTGTAATAAATACGGAGACAAAGATGAAGACAATTGTCCGAATAATGAGAATAGCTACAACAAAATTCGATTAAAATATCATAAGGAAAAGAAAATAACCCCAGTAAATGTTTTCTTTTCTTAAAATTTTAGCTTATAATTTGTAAAACACAAAAGAAATGAAATACTCTGTTAAAGAAATATTTTGGGTAAATTTAAGGAAATAAATCCCCCCCCCCATGTATTTTATTCCGACGTGTGTTATTTTCATATGAAACTATTATGTTCTGTGTCATCAACAAAACAAAATTAGCAAGAATGAACCAATTCTTTTGGAAGTCTGCAAACAATATGAAGCCTGAATATTTAAATAATAGTAACAAAGCAAATCTTATAGGAAAATACTATCCTAAATATTGGACAGATTAAAAATATTCCCATGTTTTCGATCTTTCGCTTAATTAATAATGTTTGTGCTGCGTATTATAATTAAAATAAAATGGTCATTAATTGGTCCAACCAACTTCTCAAAATTTGAAAATCAGACGTATTTCTGGAGAAAATCCTCATTGTTCAAGCTGAAATCTTTTCATCAATGATCCTCAAGTAGTATATGACCACAGTTTCAACGCGCTGTTGTGGTTTCTGCAGAAAATAGGTTTTACATAGCTCAGATGTTAGTCCTATATAAATGATTCGAATTCCTTGTTCCCATTCTCCCAGATTGTTTGCCAACCAATGCTATAAATAGCAATCTGACATAGTATTTAATCCATAGCGTTGGGGAAAGGAAATAAATTGTTACGTTTCATTGGGGTATTTACGTGATAGCGAACGCAAAATCATCGACTGAATTTTGAATTCGACAGGGCGAACCCATTTTCTGCGCCGATAACTGTTATCCTACCTCATTCCGATTAGAAGATGATATTGTTACTTGAAATTATTTGAAGGTAAAAAAAAAGAAAGAATTTTTTGTTTTCAAATGCAGTGATTACAGCAACATCAGATTTTCTATCGCTATTTACATTATTCGGACTATTGTCCGCTTCTATGACGCCATGTTTATCACAACGTTTTTTCAGGTGGTTAGAATGTCGAACTGAACTCTTTACTTCGCTCACTGGGTAGACTGTTCTAGTTCCATGTGCAATATCTAATTATCTTCTGTTAATTCTCCTCTCAAAGTTCTCCAGCGCCTTAATCATGTATTGAACTCACACTCTGTGTCTCTGTCACTGGATCTAACTAACGCCTTTATCCACAGTGCCACCATGTCCTTGAGGAGATCTGTCTATGAATTTCTGGGTATTATAAACCTAATGTCTTCAGCCCTCTTTTTTTTATCAGTGCTCATATTTTTGCTGTTATCATTGCATGTTTTTTACCAGAGTTCATATTGCAATTTATGTTGTTAATATCGCTTTTCTTCTGAACTCCTTATTACTGGTTCACATATTGTATTCATTTCTATGCTTGGTCGGCTCAGGAGATTTTTGTGTCTTACATAAATGCTGATTCCTTAAGTTTACGAATTTTCCATTGATGTTCTTTGTCCATGATCTCAACTTGAGAGGGGAATTAACAAGAGATAACTGACACCCATTAGACATGGCACTGAGCGAAATAAAGGGTTCAGTTCGACATTTCAACCACCTGAAGAAGTCCGGAGCGTACAACGGCCGAAACGTTGTGATAAATATAGCGACAAAGATGAGGACAATAGTTCGAATAATGTAAATAGTCTACATAATACCTCATCTCAGAAATATAGACAAAACTTTCTATCGATTTGACAGGAGGCAATGTTTTCTAGTTCATGCCTGTGAATACTAATCCACAAATGTATCTCTGTTTTATGATGCTTGAGTCACTTACTATTTTATTAGTCATTTTTAAATAAAAGGCTAATTGCTTGAGACTCATTTAAAAGTTAATAAGCGGATTATTTAGTGAAATAAAGGATGCAATGGATAAATTGTTGTCTGAATAACACAAAAATGAAAATAACACTGACACCTCATTTTACCAAAATTTCACAGAAATATTCTGAAATACTAAAGAGTAAATTTATTCAATAACATCGCCATTCGTTTGAGCCATGGTTCCTGGAAGGCTTCGGAATTTCCTGCAACTCTTCTGGACTGTCAACTTATTGAAGTTGTTGAATGCTGCCATAATCTTTGCCTTCAGTTCATCTTTGAGGTTAAAAAGTTTTGTTAGTCAGTCGCTCAACTGCGCCCCACATATAATAACCAAGAGGTTGCAGTCTGAGGAGTTAAGTGTCGAGGTTTAAAGGGACATGTGGACGCAGAAATTGTCTGACAGTCATGACTGTGTTCTTCTGCTTGTGTGGCATTGTGAACAGTTCTGTTGCCAGACATACGGTCTTCCAGCAGCCACCCTCTTGACCAGGGCAGCACGACTTTCTCAAGGCACTTGATGTAGGCCTCCGAGTTGATTCTGAGACCCTCACAAAAATTCGTGGGTTAGGGTTAGGGTTATCAGAACGATCTGAGTGGGTTTTCCGAGTTTCCGAACCTTTTTAATCACTATTGGACCTATCCAAAAATCCTCTGAACTGTAGTCAGATTAACACCTAAACACTCTGAAATGTTCATATTGGAGCTTCTGGGGTGAATGCTAGGCAGTACAGCTTGCCTTTTCCAAATTTCTAGCAGAATGAATTTCGTCATGTTACTCTTTTTCTAACAGAAAGTTCACAACTGACCCTTATATGATGCGCAGTCGACAAAATAAAAAACAGAGCAAAAAAAGCTAAAACAAACAACGCGCATGAACGAAATTAAAAATCTAGAATGCCGACAATTTATCAAACCTTTAATATTTTTCTTTGAGCTGGTATTGAAGGTCATTCGGTTATGTCTTGGTGTTTGCAAAGTCCAACGGTAGGAAATAAGATCAATTATAGCAGACATGGGATTTAAAATAATTATGGCATGTATATTAAATGTATATATTGTCGACATATCCTTCAATTACTGGAGTAGATTTGTTTAACAACCTCCACTCTGATATTCGCCAATATAGAGATTTCACAGAAGGCTTTGCATTCTTTGAGTCAAATCAAGATTTTGCTAATGTTTAAGTTCCGTGAAATTTTCTCGGAAGTTCTAGGATGGAGAATTATTATTATTAACATTATTTATATGTGGACTATTGTCCTGGTCAACGTTTCCCCTATTGTGCGTACTGACCTTCATAAGATTCTTGACCATCTGGGTAAGCTTGCAGGGGCAATGACCTCGTAAATTAAAGCGATGATTTCTGAATGTGGTGACATAGTAACTGATTTCAATCTCTGGACTGGTCAGTGTCTATCTGAACTTAGTCGAAACGAGTCGAAATAACTGAGAAGTAGTAAATAAGAAGTAGACGAGAAATCCGAAGACATAATCAGCAGAACGGTAACGATCTACCCAATTACATTAAATTGAGGGTCCATTCTGAAATTCCATGAAGCTTATCCACATCAACAAGCAGTTGATCGAAAAGTACCTGATGAAGGCCAGGTTTCCCAACGACATAAATGCCGTCGCGAAAAACAATATGTGCCATAACAAGAAAACGACAACACATATCAATTCTGAATTTAATCTCCTTCGAAATAGTCCACTCTTGAATCCACGCACTTTTTCCAGCATTGTTGCCATAGATAGACACCTTTGGGATAGCTGCCTTGTTGGATTTCCTCGATGTCTTAAAACCTTGTTCCTTTCAAGTTGGACTTTTGAAGAAAAATTCACCAGGAGAGAGATCTGAGGAATAAGATGATTGTCGGATCAGGGAAATGTTGTACTTGGCCAAAATATTCTGCACAAGCCGATCGGACCTCTGATCACATTCTACACACTCTCCCTCCAAGTACTGCTATAAAAATGGAATTGAGCGACAACGTTTTAACATGTAAGAGTTTATATCTAAAAAAATTCAAGGTATATCTTTACCTAGTAGCTTCACTGTAAGTACTTTAGCTCTGTTACCATAGCAACAGTGCCAATATATTTTGATCAGATCCCTTATGTGGTTTTTTCGGACGTTGAAATATTGTCTTTTGCCCAAATGCTGACTCAAACAGGACAAAATGCAGAGAAATAAGTTATCAATATTTAGAAGCGTCTTAAATCCGAATTAGAATTATTTCTCAAACGAAGAATTTCTGTTACTACCATTACTGCACACACAGAACGAAACAATCAAACTCCGATATCGGAATATTCAATCAGTATCGAAAAAGTTCAATAGTGGATGATTTTTTAACGAACTGATTAACACCCGGCTGTCGCAGCAGACAATAATCCACTGGGTACTTCCCAGGACGGACGAAGAAATAAATAAAAAAATTAAATGATAAAAAAAAAACAGTATAGAATAAATGTGAAATTCACTCGGTGATTGCAGCTGTCGTCTGCTGAGACATTCGATCGTATCTTGAACATCGTCAAACGAAGTGCAGAGGGGGAAAAAAGAAAAGACAGAATATTGATGTCGGCATAGACGATTCGGCAATATGGCGTCTGGAATTTGATTGGTCAAATGCAGAAAGTTGAATATTGTGCTGACGTCAAACAATTAGAAAGAATCAGAATACATTTCACGAAAGCATCAAGAAATTTTCGCCTTTTCTACATTTCATTCTTTCTTGCTTCTTCTCTTTGTTGCTTTCTTCCTTTTGCTCTTTACCCATATTTCTTTGTTGTTTTTATTGTTTTCTTCTTTCTTTCTTTCTTTCTTTCTTTTTCGCTCACACTGCATACTTGGCCCCTTTCCAACTTTCTTTCCTTCGTTTTATCTTTGTTGCTATCTTCTTTTTCACACATTCCCACCTTTCTTTCTTTCTTTCTTTCTTTCTTTTCAATCGTTCACGCCTTTTTTTCTTTCTTTCTTCTTGTTCATCCGTTCCCAACTTTCTTTCTTTCTTTCTTTCTTTCTTTCTTTCTTTCTTTCTTTCTTTCTTTCTCGCTCTTATTGCATATTTCTTTCGTTCTCACCTTTCTTTCTTTCCTTCGTTTTTTTCCATTCTTGCTTCCTTCTTTTTCACTCCTTCCCACATTTCTTTCTTTCTTTCTCGCTCACTCTTTAGATCTCGTTCCTTCGCACACTTTACTCATGTCTTCAATAATATAAATCCCCAGAAAATTTTCTTGGTCAATTGTCGCGACTTCCTGTTATCTGGTTCTGACAATATCGTCTGGAATAATTTTGTAAAATTATACCATTTGTAATTTTGGTCTCATGAGACAAGTATTAAAAACTTGTTGAAGTAAATTATAATTCATAATCGAGGTTTCGATGATGCGTTAAGTTTTTCCTTTGATATATATATATATATATATATATATATATATATATATATATATATATATATATATATCAAACAATGAATCATTCATAAAAAAGTAAATTAATAAAATTAATGATATAAAATGTCGAAATCACTTCGTTATCTAAATTTTAAAGATGCATTAACCCACTAACAACTCGATGAATGTCGTGATCCTTGTTTTTTAAAATTATAAAATATATTAGATCTTACTTGTAAAAAGACAATATATATAAATTCTAGCAGAAAACTTTTCTTTATGGATGCGTTTCATCTTTTCTTGGATTTTGTTACGGCAAATTTAATGAATTTATTTTGAAACAAGTAATTAAAAAAAAAATTAATACATCATTTGGTTGTCAAAAATTTTCTAAATTCAAGAACGCTTAAAAATATTCTTCAATGTAAACTATAGAGGATCATAAGTGATGTACTTTAATGGGTAATAATCAAAAGTGAGTAAATGTTTTTATTTTGCTCTTCATTTGTTTTATATATTTATTTCCTGTATTAATGTAACTATTATTTATTATTATTATTATTTTATTTGATAGATTAATTAATGTGTTTATTTATTTTAAATAATAGTATGTTTGATTTAATCGTTTTAGTTTTAAAAATGCTGATTTATGTTGATTTGTGAAGGGAATATCTCCATTCATTACATCGAGACCAGGTAAATGTCTGTGTTTCTTAAGCAAGATTTCTTCATTTGAACAACTAGGGTAATGCCATCTTGTCACACATTCTTTTCATCAAATATGTCGTGATTAATATAATAATATCCTTAAGAAATGATTGATGATACCCGACTAATTGCTATGATTTTACTTAATATTTTTTGTATATAAATTGTCAATTTATAAAAACAATAAGTCCTATTCAGTTGAATAGATTACTCTGTGGCGTACACGGCCACAGCCTCAGAACATAAGCATTGTTGCTGTGCTTTTCTGTAACAAAATCTATTTTGACATGGTCAGTTCCTTTTTGATACAAACCTAATTTTGGGTTCAATGTCCTAAACTGTCTTACAAGTAACCGCAAGCTGGGTGGATTTTTTACCTTTCCAGAGATATTTGTTCGAAAGCGAATGACATGGAATAAGCTAGATATCGAACTCGGTTCGCCAATTTTTCTTTCTACGCCGATAACAACAACTACATTTCGACATAGATCAGGAGAGAGAAAAATAATTAAATTTTTAATTTGGGACGAAATTTCAAAACAGCAACTTTAAATATATACTTTCCATAAAATAATTCATTATTTAGGAGCAGGAAGAACTCCCATATATATATATATATATATATATATATATATATATATAGAGAGAGAGAGAGAGAGAGAGAGAGAGAGAGAGAGAGAGAAAAGTTCAGAGCAGATAACATTAGAAAGATTTTAGAGTCCCATGAAAATAAGTGGATACAACGTCTAAAAAACAAAATACCCAGCCGGGCTAAATCATAAATTTAACAATATATAGATAGTCAACAAATCAAAACCTACCCACATTTCTCACCCACACAAGACAGACATGCTTACGGAGGTGTGGAGGCCTCACACTTATACACACACACACACACACACGAATATACACACTTACACACATCATACTCACTCACTCCCTAATGAGCCAAATGATAAAACCCACCCACAGCAATACACACGCTTACACATATCATACTCACTCACTCCCTAAGAACCAAATAACACACACACAAACACTAAACAGAGACACACCCCCTCACCAGGTCCAATAAAACTGTCAAACTGACCAGAGAATTCAGAATAACACGTATCTATCCAGCTCTTATCTCAAATAACAACTTAAAAGAGACTGTTTGACTAACACAAGGAATGTTAAAAGATTCATGTTAAAAAGATAAAAAAATAAAAAAACAAATGAAAACTACAGACAAAAGTTCATTTTCTCCAACAAAAGACATTCATTTCTGTAGTTCACTGTTACCAGCAAGCAGAAAAATTTCTCCTCCCGATGATGGCCATTTCGGTCGAAACTAGTCGAGGAATCTAAATGGAATAATAATAAAAAAACGAGAGAATATTAATCTACAACCCAGTGTGTCTAAATATTTTAATTTTTATTTTCTTATTGTTCAATATATATATATATATATATATATATATATATATATATATATATATATATATATATATATTATGTGTGTGTGTGTGTGTGCTTGTGTGTGTTTGTGTGTGTCTGTGTGTACTCCCTCAAAAACTATATATCTGACTAATTAATAAATAAAATGCATTCCTTTTTTTTATAAGTTGCTTTGTTTATGTTAGGATGTGAAACTGAGCAAATTTGTCTATTTTAAGGATCAGAGAAAAATCTCTTCTGTCTAGCTTGGTCTCCGACAGACGCACTCTCTGGTGAAAAAATCAAAGCACCTAGAGTAATGGAGGTTCGAATAACATCTATGTAATCAGTTGGGTTTCGATCCTGGCTTGAGGCAATCGGATATCTAGTCACACTCATGTACTGTGATACAGCGGAACAGTCTCTCTGTGGATCAAACACACACACAGACACACACACACGCACAAACACACACACAGACACACACAAACACACACACATACATACATACATATATATATATATATATATATATATATATATATGTGCTTCACTTGCCTTACGGTCGAAACTTGGATTGCGAGGTTGGTTGGCATTTTAGCCTTTTCTTAAATATCTTAGCTCTCTACATATTCGATTTTGAATTTTGTATTGAGCACTTTTTTGTTGCCTATACCTTTTAGGCGAGGCCGTTCTCAGTCTTACTTTTACATTTCTATCGGTATTTTTGCTCTCACTGCCGGTTGACCACTTTATTGGTGTGCAACATATTTTTAAAAGACATCTTTCCACTTGCTTGAGAAGACCTTATGATTGAAACCCGTGTTGTGAGGTTGGCTGGCATTTATATAA